CATAGATGGCGTTTTTGTCGACTTTACTCAATCCAGAACTGGGTACAAACTTATGGTGAATAGAAGTTCCACTCTGTCTCATTTATTTTTGAAGTTGTATGTCACAATCCGTCAGTTCTTTTACTTGACGAAGGCTGTTGTGCTGGTTTGCCTCTCGAAGGGTCAGAGATACGTTGTAGCACTCCATGTTAATTTTTTTTTCTAACCACAGTTATGGGAAATTTCCTACCCTACGGAGTTGCTATACAAGATTCTAGAACTGCTAGATCGACGTCATTTTAGTCAAGTTGGTATTTTAACAATGAACAGTGTCATTAACAAAATGCCAAAGAGCTGTGGAAAACATAACATTTATTTGATATAGTCAATCATAAAGACACGAAATATATTACCGAACATCTTTCTGATCCAAATTAAATAAACAAATCATTAAATTATCAATTTAAACCGCAAGGCTTTTGATACTATGAATTACGATGTGCTGATGAACTTGCTGAACGTCATTTCTTTGGTTTCAATATGAAGGAATGCAATTTTATCAGCTGTTTATGATGTAATAGAACGTAATGTGCCGAAATACTTATGGTTGCATGATTTCCACTGATCTTCAAAAAATCGTAATGGAAATTGACGATTATTGTGACAATAATTTGTCGTACAGTTACTGATGTCAACAAGGCATTGAAACATCGACAGTAGTGGGGTGAAATTTTTATTTAATTTTGGTAGATGTATACAGGGTGTTTATTGAACATAAGACAAACATTAATTGGACTATTCCTTGGACTATTTGTACTTTGATGATTTTTGATTGGGCGCTTTTTTTGAAGATGCGGAGCGAAAAAGAATTTTGACAATAACAATTTATCACCAAAAATTACATGTAATGTTTCTTAATTTTCAAGAACTGTTGAAAATGACGACTTCCCGCTCAGATGCAAGAATACAATCTTCTCCTCATCGACTCCCTAACACTTTCAAAAACACCAGGATCATTTCTGATTGCGTTACATCCAACAATTATCCGATTTCTTAAATATTTCATTGAAGTACTATAAACTAATGACTTTAGGTGGCCCCATAGGAAATAATCCAGGGGGTTTAAGTCCGGTGATCGAGTAGGCCATAAGCCAATATACTAAAATGCGCTGGTGCACCATCGTGCATAAACCACATTGAATTTCTTGTAACCAATGGTACATCCTCCAGAAACTGAAGTAGCGTTTGTTCCAAAAAGTTGCGCCTCGCCGTTAAGTCTTCCTGGCAGAAATATTGGCCCAATTACGAAGTCACCTACAATTCCCACCCAAACGTTAAACGAAATTTGATGTTGAAAGCGATCTTCAAGCACTTCATGTGGATTTTCTTCTGCCCAAACATGGTTATTGTGAAAATTCCTTATGGCATTTCTTGAAAAACTGGCTTCATCGGTAAAAGGAATAGGCGTTGGTAATTGAGGGATTTTAACCAATGTGCGCAAAAGCCCCGTATCTTCGAAACAATGCGCCCTATCAAAAATCATCAAAGGACAAAATATCCTTAGAATAGTCCAAGCAAAAGCTCATCAATTTTTTGCCGCATGTTCAATGAACACTCTGTATAGTTAATTGCATATTTGAATCATTGAAACATTATATTAATAGTATTCGCATTTTTTCTTTCAATAATCCTTCTTTGAAAAGAATATTCCGTTTTGTCAGTAGTAGGACTCTTCTGAAACATCCTGTATTTAACTTTATTCGAATGTTTGTAATGATAGCTACGACTATCTATTTTGAGCGTATATAGCTTATATTTCATTACCCAAATCTCGATTAGGAACTGGTTTATAGAGTTAAGTTTCAAGTTCGGGTTAAAACCATTGGATACATAAATTTGGAATAAAATGTAACTTTGATCGATTACAGTGAATTTTTAGAAAGTAACATTTTTGTCATTGAAAAGATCCCGTTAATATTTCAGTTACATTGAGCAACTCACCGAAATAAGTTGATACACATTAATCCGTGTATGCGATTTCAAAATGATTTTTAAGCTTTCTGATTGCTGATGATTGAAATAAGCTAATTGAATATGCTGACCTCTATCTATGACCTCTACTTGTCCATTTTCCTTATCTTCCGTACGTTAGCAGTAAATGATATATCGTTTTCTTTTGCTTGAAGAACTAAAGGAAGGTTCATGATGATTTTAGATTTTGTATAGATCATTTTTTCGAATATCGTAAAAAAATGTATTCTCATATTTGTCTAGAATATGCGGCAAAAGTTACGAAATACAAAGGCAAAGTTTTAAAGGTAGAATGGACCTATTACTTACGTTAGAAGTCAGAAAAAAATTGAAAAACTAAACTGAAAAATTGTAAATAGTGAATTAGGCCTGAAAAAATGAGTCGTACTTCAGCAAAAAATATTATTATTACTGAATCAGTCAAAGAAGCAAACAGTTTTGCTTGACAATGCAGTGCAGATTTGGCAACGTTTTGGTTAAAACATGTATTGTCATTACCAACTAGCTATACCAGTATCACCGTATCAGAGAATATAAAATAAACTTATTGGTAAAAAAAAAATGTTTTCCGTTAACCAGCTGTTGCCTCCTCACGAACGACAAATCTCAGAAGAAATTTGTACGAACTGAAGGCTAACGAGGTCATACCTTTTAACGTGTGATTCCTAGCACTAACGATATTTGTTCCGATTTTCACTATAAGTAAATCCTACTTCAAATAGCTCTTATATGGTGAAACACTTGTCGAGGTTTTGTAAACCTGCTGAAGAAAATATCAGAATAAATATTATTAGTGAGTTTTCATATGGATTTTCATCAAGTATCAACAAGTTCCATTCATTTCACGTATAGTCAGTGGGCATACTTGAAGACTGGCTATAAATCAAATCATCTAAAGGAACAATTCGTTCAGGCCAGTCTCAACACCCTACACAGTAGGTTAATGGACTGACACCTATCAGAAAACAACTACTCCCCTGGCTAATACCACGAAGGGCGTTGGATTATATCCGACAGGTGTCAGTGCAGGATTTTTCACAGAAGTTATTCCTGCATATGCTGTTGGCAATACAACTGCCGCAATAGATTTTCAATTATTGGAACACACTTGCAGACCGGTTTCGGGCTGTTTGGCCACTCGTCAGTGCAAGGTAGTGTATATCATCAACATAAAGTCGATGATTTCCGATAATTGAAAATCGAATTCCGTCAGAGTATCATTCCTCGAACTAAGCTGAAGACTACAACAAACAACAGGTTTGTCGTCGCTCCATCTGCCTGTGAACGAGGTAACCAACTAACCAACTAATATGTACATTCAATTTAGAATGAAAAATAGTTAATTATCTTGAGGACTTTTTCTTCCAGTTTGTGTCTGAAAGTTACTTCTTTGCATGATCTACACATCTATATGTACAGCTACTTCTTTTAGAATTGATTACTTCCTTTCTTTCTTTGAAAGATTCACACTTTTCCTTTTGTATCTAGATGGAGTAGAAGAAAGCCAAACATTTCTTTCCCAAAAAAAAATAGGACTTTGCTGAAACGAATTATTGAATGAAATTATTAAAAAAAAATCGAAACGTATTTATATCAGTTTTTTCCTGATGATATCAAAAAAGCAGCCAAAAGACTTCAGGCAATTTTTTCTTACTTGAATTATTTGAAAACAATGCTAACTCACTTGGAACCAATTAGTAAGTACCTACTCCTCAGCATGTTTTCAGACCAAAAATGTCAATAGAAAGAGTGTCGTGCAGAGAGACAGATGGTTTTACAGAATTCCAATTCACATGATCAGGCTGTAAAACTAGGTATATTCCAGGGTTCAACTTGGTTTTTTGTTTTTTCTTATTGGTATACACGATATTTAAACGATATTCATGTTACACCGACACAACTTTATCTATCAGAATGCAGAATAGCCCGTAGACTTTTTGGTGTCAAAGACATAAGTTGATTCTGAACAAGTTAAAATTAGTAGATAATAGTGAAAATGTTTGCCTTTTGGGAGCTCAACTATCGGGTATTCCATTGAACACTTTCTATCTTTAAATTTAAATAAAACAAAGTGTGTGTGAGATGCAATTATGTGTGGACTATAACATCGTTCAAATATCCGCCACGGCTTCTCTGGGTACAGCCCATCCGAAACGTCCAATTTTTCTTGACTCTGGCGCATGCATCAGGCTGAATTTGACTGATGGCATGGGTTATGTTAGCTTTGAGGACTGTTGTGGTTCGTGTCTTATTTGTATACACCTGCGACTTAAGAAAACCCCACAAGAAAAAGTGTAACGGGGTCAAATCGCGCGATCTCGGTGGCCAGTTCACATCACCTCCACCATGCCCTAAAATGGCTCGTGCAGAATATCCAAATGTAGCATGAGCTGGGTGGCACATAGCGCCATCCTATTGAAACCACATGTCGTTGGAGTCCAGACCTATTCAGAACAAAATAAGTTGGTAATTATCGACCTATAGTGCTCGTCGTATACAGTGATGACCTGGTCAAAGTCGTTCTCAAAGAAATATTGACCAATGACGCCGCCAGCCCAAACTACACACCAAACAGTGACTTTTTTGGGATGCATTCGGGATGAATTTTTGAATCTCGTGTGGATTGGTATCGTCCCAAATTCGACAATTTAGTTTGTTCACGTACCTATCCATCCAGAAATGGTCCTAATCGCTGCAGATGATTTTTCGAAGAAAATTAGGGCCATTTGCCAACTGCTCTAGAGACCATTCAGCGAGCATACGTCGTTGTCTATAGTAGTTTACCTTCAGTTCGTGAGTCAGTTGAATTTTGTACGGATGCACACTCTCACAGACAACGGCGATGTTTTCGGCAGATCTTGCGTTTCGTCGACGTACGGGTGATGGCCGATCGTTTACTGAACCAGTAGACTCCACCAAATTGCAAATAGTCCTCTCGGTAGGACAATAATTATGACGATCGTAAAATGGGCGAACAGAATGTTTTTTTGTGTAATATATTTTATTTATTGAAAACTATCTTCAGCTCCGATTTTTAAGTAGTTGTCCCCGGCTAGTTCATCAAATTCTTCTCTTTGGATATCCAGAAAATGGTTGATTTCAAGAAACTTGTCTCTGTTCCTCTTGATTTCGTCTTTGGTCAAGTTCTTGGTGAAGGTTTCCAACCAGTGTTTAACCCGTTCAACTAGATTATCCTCTCTGTTATCAATGATTTGCAAATGAGCATGATGGGTGGTAGCGATGGCATTGTTCAAAGCTTCCTTGTCCGACATTATTGATTTTAGGACATCTGGTACCGTAATTTCTCCCATGTTGGCCTGTGTTAAATACCTAGAACTGATATCCGATATATTTTCGGTATAAATTACTTCCTGTTCGCGAATCTACGCAAAAACTGCCTGAGCTTCTTCGATGAAAGCGTTTATCATGTCGGCAAGAACGTGTTCCAAAATTTGGTTAACCTCTTCCATCTGTTCAAAGAGTTGCAGTTCCATCATCCATTTTGATGAAACTTTTATTATCTGCACGTGTTGTTGAATACTACATCTGTCGATGGTGATTTGGCAAAACAGACCGAATGAATGACAACTAATTTGGCAGATGCAGCTTCAACGAAATGTCTGTTTTCAGTTGTCAAAATTCGGAAGTTCCTGTTGGAAGACCCTTCAGTGATGAGGCATGAAGATATTTTGGTATATATTTCAACAGATTAAATAAGTTTCGTAGCTTTCTAAGAAACTATAGAGTCCCTGTTGGAAGACCCTATAATAGGGGAGCCCAAGCGGGGATTTCGGGATTTACTGAAGCGTGGCAGATTATTATACAGGGGGATACCTTGTACCCGGTTAAGTACCTTTATCAAATATGAGCCCCATACATAAGGCCGCCTGTGAGGGATAAAGGATCAGATTAGTGAAAAAAAAATTAATCATCAGAAATTCACGAGTGCGTAAGATTAAGGTAGGGTGAGTTAATTACCTGCTAAAAAGTGTATATTCCAGTAATCTGACAATTTGAGAGTGACGTAAAGAAAGGAGAGGGCTGCAAATTTGCAAAAAAATAACGTCATTTCGACATTCTCGAGCTTAGCTAATTTTTTTTATTTTGAAGGAAATAATTCAAGGATAACGAAAAATATATAATCTGACGATTTGCGCAAGCCGAAATAACAAAAATTCGTCGATAAAGTTTAATGAGTGCAGCTGTGTGATACCTATATTTCCCTCTCCGAGTTTCTATTCCACTATTCTCTATTCACTTTTTCTCTATCTATTTCTCTCTCACTCCGTCCCTACTCTGAATTCTGTTGCCATGACGCCATCACAGCTGATCACAGAGACTCGTTCGTGATGAAGATGATGATTACTTAATCAATTAATTGATGGATGTAGCCGTTACTACGACTGAGCTTTTCAATTAATCAAGTTCAATGGAATAAAAAAAATAAAAAAAAAATATTGTTTTTGTCAGATTAAGCGAGTCCCTCTAGATAATCATCAGATTATGAGACAGCAAGTCTAAAAAATGAAGATGAACCATATATATCTTAATCTGACGCGCTCGAGTATTTCAAAACGGCGATTTTTTTTGCACATTATAATAATGGCCGCGAGTTTGCATCAGATCGAAATCGTCAGATTATTGGATAAGAACTTTTTTTTTGTTGTACTTAAGACCACCTTAGAAAATCTGATGCGCTCGATTGATTTTTTTTTCTTTTCACTTTCAACCCTTACGTACAACCACCCACATCATGCAAACGATCAGATTAACATACCAAAATTATTAAAAATACGTAGGACATTGATGCTATCAATATCTGACGCGCTCGAGTATGTCCATGCAACAGTTTTTTAACATATTTAAAAATCTATAGACGCTTTCCCCACCGATGAAAAGGTATATATTGTATAACATTTTTTTCTTCTTATTACCTAAGCTTTGCAACCTAATATGTCTCAATGACGCTCGAGTAAATCCCCATTTTGCATCGTGGGCTCCCCTGCTACTACATAATGAAATAGTAACAACATAGCAAAGAGAAAAATTACAACTTTTATTTCAAATATGTATTTCTTCATTTACCTTCATTCGTACTAGTCATAATAGATATATAGATTTGAATCCAAAACAAGCACTGCTGCCGAATATCATAGTCTCAACACTCTTCAAGACGCGAGTTTCACCAACAAAGTTGACATCTTCAGGAGACGAAGTGGTCCAATTCATTGTCCATAAAAGGTTCCACGAGTAGCTAGGAGAGGGAGGTACATCACGGCAGGGAATTAGCGTGACAACGCTTTCCACTACGAGAATAAGCCTGGTATCTCGAAGGTTCTGTGACACAAAGTGTTCTCAGAATAATACAATGTTTTCGGCACCAATACAAGCCTCATTCGGCTACGGTATCCTAATGCTCTCCGCTGCAGCAATTGTAATTAACTTGGATCACTTTTTATATTTTTAGAATCTAAGATTTTTTTCACATCGTTTTCGCTAAATGTTGCACCCTGTTTTATCGATCATTTCATATATTAATCAAATAGAACTGGCCGATACTTGATGAAAATCCATATTAAAACTAATTAATACAGTTCATTGTATGATTTTCACTTTAAAGGGTTTTACAAAAACTGCTATACAATAGCTTTCTCAAGCGTTAACCCTACAGTACCCGTTTGAAATTGCGAGACACCAGTACCCGTACCGATCTATCAGAACAGATAGGGTTAACAAGGTACACTCTATTTTTTATGAATGTGCCACACAAAGAAGTTGAGGTGATTAATTTTATGGAAAATTACAGTTAAAAAAAAGAACAAAAAAATCAGCAATATTATTTTATTACAATCTAAAATAAGAAAAAAAGACATCCTTTCGAATTATCAAATTGAAAATTTTCGAAACAGAAATCACACACCGGATTTATATGCTCAAGGCACATTTATTTTTGCATTTCCTGCAAAAATACCTAGTTTTTCGATTTTTCTTATTGTCACAGAAATAACACCTTCTTCTTTCGTACACTTCATGTCGAACTGTCTGGTTTTCTTCTAAACCGTATATCTCCCGAATCTGTAGTTTCATGTTTCGGAGAAGACTCTGTGAAGTGACACGTTCTCGCACATGCGGTTCTATCAAGTCCGTGGCTAGTTTGCGCAGGAATTCCCTTCGAAGTATGGAAGCATCTGGATTATCACATTATCACAATGATATATCACCAGATTGTTGATTCCAGTGATATTCAAAGTTGAATGAAAAACAACCATGGACCATCGCTGAATGTTTCTGACGCAGTTGTAGTTCGAACACAATTGATTGACGATATCAACCCCACCTTTTGTATCATTATACATTGTAATGATTTCTGGTTTATAATTGTCTCCACTCTCAGGATCAATATTATCGTCATGGTGTAGGCTGTATACTAATACAACGTTTTTTTTATACATATGAAACCAGCGTACAATTTTCTCTGAATCCAAATATGCTTGACTTCAGGGGACGTTTGTTAGGTTTGGAGAACTCCACTGGCAATTCTTTCTCATCCTTTCTAATACTGCCTACGATTGTCACCTTTTTTTAACAAACTGTTTGATAAACCAATGCTGGTGAACCATTTATCAATGGATAAATTTCTGCCTGAATTGAATATCGGTTTACAGATACGTTTTACTATTTCATCTGGACTCTTGATGCCATTTTTAAACAGTCCATCTGGTTGTTGAACTACATACACTTCTGAATTCGATGTATAATACGTCCGCGCATCTATCATTGCAAAAAATGTTATTCCATATTTATTTGGTTCAGAAGTGATGTATTGTCGAAAGGCACATCTGCCCCGAAAACCTTCTAGCTTTTCATCTATTGTGACGATCGCTTAATGACTAAAAATCTATTTTTACAGTTTTCAACAAACAAATCTCTTCCTGGAGCAAGTATATTCATCTTTTCTCTATCACCTCTTGTCCGTTTGTCGTCAAATTTGATGCAGCTGAGAAAAAATCGAAATCTATTCAAGGACATGGATAATTTGAAAATTTCAACTCCAGATCCGTCTGTTCGCCATAAATCTTTGGTGTTCAAATGGTTATTTTTGAGAATACCTGCATAGTACAACAATCCCAATTAAATTTGTTTGAAGGTGATTGACAATGTTTCGTGATGAATTTCACTAGTTCGGACTTCCATTGTCTAATATGTGAAATGATTTGAAATCCACGAAACAACTGAAAAAGAAGAATTAAAAATAAATAGCTGAAAATAACAATTATATGAAGCAAAAATAACCTGAAATGAAATAATATTGAAATAAAATACAAGTGAAATTAAAACGATTGAACAAAAAATGAAGAAATACAAATAAATATAAAAAAAAGTTGAAAGATTCCAAGCCAAGTTAGTTCACGACGTTTCGATTGTTCGTATCTACAATCGTCTTCGGACGATGACTGGACTGATGCACGTCGTCTTGATTTCAGACAGGTTGAAACCTGTCTCCCTTTCCCTTTGAACTGATGTAAATGGACTGATTCCTCCGAGAGATGACTATTTATGGGTTCAGTGGGAGATGACCGTTTGGCGAAAGTTGGCCATTTTTTGCTTGATTATAGGTTTCCATACGTTGCGTATCTCTACGCTAACTTGGCTGAATACATTAATGGAAAACATGTATGCGACTTCTTTGAATTTCCTCCTAAACCAATATTCTTCTTTGTGTATGATCTCAGCTTGGGACCATTCGATTTTATATTGGTGGGTCCAAACATGCTCTGCTATTCCTGATTTGCTGGTTTCCCCTCTCTGTGTGTGTTTCTTGTACTCGTCAATGCGAACATTCAATGGCCCCTTAGTTTCACCGATATAGGATTTTCCGCACTCACAGGGTATCCGGTAAATGCAATTCTTGGAATCGCAGTTCTCGTTTGGTAGCCTGGTTTTCTTGAGGTTGCTACGGATAGTGTTTCCGGATCTAAAGCAGGTTCTGATGTTGTACTTGGATCCAATTCTTCGTATCTTTTCCGATAATCCTCTGATGTAGGAAAGTGCAAGCACTGGTTGTGACGGCTTCTCTTCCTCTCGGGGCTCCTGCTGTCTTTTAGTCAAAGTCTGTTCCACTATCGCTTTGGATTAGCCATTTCGTTGAAGATCATTTTTAATGTTATCTAGTTCCTTCTCGAGACCTTCCTTCGTATTACAAAGTCCGACAGCACGGTCTACTAGAGTTTTGATAAATCTTCTTTTAGTCGATTGATGGTGGTTGGATTCGTGGTTCAGATACTGTCCCGTGGGAGTGGATTCTCGGTTTACAGATGTTTCCCACTTAGTGTCGGTCCTCTTCACCAAAACGTCTAAGAATGGCAATTCGTTGTGGATTTCCTTCTCCATTGTGAAAGTGATGAAAGGTCTCATGCTGTTGATGTGTTTCAGGAAGGCGTCTAGTTCAGTATTCCCATGGTTCCATATTATGAAAGTGTCGTCAACATATCTCAACCAGACCCGAACCCACAAGAAACCTCGGGTTATTTCATTTCAGGTTATTTTTGCTTAATATAATTGTTATTTTCAGC